AACAAAATTAACCTAAAATACCTAACCTAAAGCATTTACCAATTATCAATTACCACAAAATTAACCTAAAATATTACACATTGAAGTTGGAAATTACTAATTAGAATCTTTACCCAAGAGAAGAGGCCAAGACCAAGAAGGAAGTCGCACATGGCAGTGCGGCACAGCACTTAGCACAGTCGGCTCGGCTGTCGGGCGTCGGCTGTCGGCAGACGGCAGCAGCCGGCAGCATTGCAGCAGCAGCACATGGTGTCCGGTGGTGACTCACACAGGCAGGCGGCGGCACAGCAGTCAGCAGGTGAGGTCGCAGGCTCGCAGCGATGAAGTCATGAAGAAGAAGAGAAGAAGTGAGGTCAGGTCCAGGTCGCACCGTCGCAGTTCACTCTCGTTTCCACAATCACAGTTCACTCTCGTTTCCACTTTCCTGCACTGAAGAGGGGCCTCTTACCTCATCTTGTTGGGGGCCCAATTACACCTAATCTCAAAATACAAGTAATTTTTTTTTTGGGCTTTCATATAACATTTTTGTTGGGGGCCCAGGACCCCAACGCCCTTGTACTGCGTCCGCCCCTGATTGTCAAAGTATAATTTCTTTAGAATATCACAAAAATATAATTACTTTGATTTATAAAAGTTCCTTCTGAAGTTTGTTTAACTTGTAGACCCAAGAAAAATGTTTCGTCCATCATGCTCATCTCATACCTACTTTGCATGAAGCAAAACTGTCTACACAAAGACTCATCGGTGGCACCAAAAATAATATCATCCACATAAATTTGAACTAAGATGATATTACCTTTGGATTTCTGAAGGAAGAGAGTATTAACGATTTTACCTCGAGTGTAGTAGTTTTTCATAACAAAACGGAGAGAGTGTTATACTAGGCCCGATGTGCTTGCTTTCGTCCATAGAGGGCTTTGTTAAGCAAGTATACATAGTTCAGATGAATTGGATCTTCAAAACCAGGAGGTTATATTTCACATAGACTTCTCCATCCAGTTTTCCATTGAGAAAAACACTTTTTACGTCTATTTGAAAAACCCTAAAGTCTATGTGAGTGACATGAGCAAGAAAAATTCTGTTGGCTTCAAATCTGGCAACATGAGCAAGGGTTTCATCATAACTAATTCCTTCTTCTTGACAATAGCCTTGAGCCACCAGTCTACCCTTATTGCGGATCGCAATACCTTCTTCATCCATTTTATTTCAGAAGACCTATTTCGTCCCGATAATAGTTTTCCGAAAGGGTCTTGGAACGAGTTTCCAAACTTTGTTTCTCTCAAAATGGGAGAACTTACACAGCTTTTGTTGTTGTCGGAACTATGTGGTATGGTTCAATGACTACCCCCGTGCTTGTTGTTAACTGATCGCTCACCCCTGCTCTCTTGCTGCAACATCAACAACAGCTAGATTTTTTCGAAATATAAGATATTTTGATATGATGACAGAAAAGGGGTTCTTTCATCTTAAATCTGAATAACTCGACGTCGTCGTCACCTGCAAAATAAGGCCAAGCTCCCCACTTTGGTTTGATGCTTTGAGGAAACACCGAGAGGCTAATAAGACCTCTCATGTAAGGTATTTTCCTTCAATACATTCCTGCATGGCTGAGATCCAACAAGGATTTGCAAGAGGCTTACCTATTTGTTTTGGCTCAATGATTAAGAGAAAATTCACATAGAGACATAGGTTTTGCACTCCTCTTAATGTCTGAACACCAGCCTGTTGATCACCAATAATTTGATCAATTGGGTGATCTTTGGTCCACTTGGTCGCTGGAGGTTGTGGGGAAGGTAGAGTAGGAGTGGGGCACGATGAAGAAGGTAGATCATCAGGTACAGGATTAGAGTTGTGAGGATGAGATTTTAGGATCAGGTTGTAGCAGAGATGAGTTATTGTTGGGAGAAAACTGGTTAGGTAGAAAAATGATATGTTTATTATTTAGATTCAGAATACTGAATGGTACATACCATTTTGTTGAACAGGGTCATTGGTGAAAGGAAAATAGGAAAAAGTACTTTAAGCGCTAACGTGGGGTGTTTCTTTGATGCACGAAGCTATCCAGTGATTCAATTCTTCATCATTCCCAGGGAGGGAGGATGATTGTAGGTCATCAAATTTGATGTGGATAGATTGGTTAATACATTTACGTTTGAGGTTAAATACCAGATATGCTTTAGAGGTGAGAGAATAGCCTATGAAGATTCTATCATCAGCTTTCGGGTCGAATTTTTTAGATTTTCCTGATAATTCAAGATGTGACAGACACATCCAAACATATGTAGGAAATCTATGTTGGGTTTTTAGCCATATAATACTTCATAGGCGGTCTCGTTGTGTCTCTTTATAGTGATTGACTGATTTTTGGTGAAACAAGTAGTATTGATGGCTTTAGCCCAAAAGTATGTCAGTCGGTTAGATTTACTGAGCATGGATCGGGCTGCTTCAAATAGGGTTCCATGAAGAAATTTTATGTGTTTGTATTCATCCCCCCCTTCTAAACTGTTTGTCTAAAACTCTTGTAGACCCGGCTGGGACCAACAATCCATCAGTGGTTGTCCCCACTTGTGGTGAAACACTCACCATAGGATCTGAGGTCCCTCCTCTCGAGGAGCCTTAAATACTTGCTGCCTCTCCTCAGGAAGGCAAAAGTGCGAACACTAGTGTCAATCCTTTAGATGACACTGATGTTGATCCTCTCTTTCATTGATTTGATGATAATCCATTTTACCTATCGAAGTACTATGTTTCTGTCTATTCAGTTCCACAAATCATCACTAAGTTTGTTTAGTGATCGCTGAAACATGTATTGTAATCCTACAACGACATCTATATTTCATGAAGACAAAACTCACACCCAAGAACCTTCAGCGAATGTCGAAGACTGAAACTGAAGATTAGTGACTAGCGCGTTCGTGATCTGAAACGGTATTCAGTGATTACAACTTGGTCAACATATGTGTGAAGTTTGCACAAGCCTCAGTGAATGCTGAAGAGACCTCCAGTGTTATTCCAGCATTCAGCGATCAAATGAAGCTTGCCATGCACAATTGTTTTTGTCTTGTCCTTCCATACACAAAAGACAAACCCATACCCTCTCAAGAGTATCGTACTGCACGGAGCTGATTAGTCGACTCTAGTACCCACCAATGCCATAAAAGGATGTCTTCTCATGAATAGACAATAGTACTATTCACTGTAGCAAAGGACAAGCTTTCCTCTAAAGTGTTGACACGTGTTCTGCCTCTTCTGAATTGCAATTAATGTAATGGGTATAAATAGTTGAGTGCTCTCTTCACTCATGCACACACACAAACGCTGCCATAGAAGCAAGTTAGGATTTCTCTCTAAATTCTAAGACACATACCCAAGAAGAACACACCTATGTCTTATCTCTTTTGGAAAATCTCTTATGTTTGTTTAGTGTATCTGTATGTATTTCTAGATTGTTTTAGATAGGTTTTTTCTTTACCTTGTCTATTCTGCAAACAATATGTAAAAATTTGTATTGATCCTTCTTTATCAATATATATTTTTAAAAGTGAAAGTTATTGTGTTTGTATTCATCCCCCCTCTTCTACAAACTGATCACCTTTAAAATCTTGTATATTCGGCTGGGACCAACAAGTGGTATCAGAGCAGTATTTGTTTTTCGTCTTGTTTTGTTGTTTATCTGCATTTTATTATCTCTTCTTTGTCTTTAGATAATTTTATTGCTTTTTAAATGGCTTT